AATCAACAAAATGATATTTTTCACATTTGATTTCATTCACGCAACTAAACGCTTTGTGTGGAAAACAGGCAGAACTCAGGCTTGACTAAAAAATGAATATTATACCACTGTGATTTACAAAGTAAATGATCACGCAGCCTCAGAGGGGTGCCTACACCTTTGCATACAACTGTATGTATTGTGTGTGTCTAGTTATTTAGTTTGAATTCTTTTTGTTTAATAAAAATGATTTAGTTGCATTACAATTAAGCATTCTTCTTTTTGCGTGGATATTTCTGTGAATTGATGTCAGCTTGTAATTTAAATGTCATCTTTGTTATTCACCTTTTCTGTCACTTCAGAACAAAAACAAGTATCACAATTGATTAAACCGGAACCGTGTTGCCAAAGCAAGAAGTGATGTGAGGATTATTAGAATTACAGAAATTACAAAAAACTGTGACTTCTAAGAACTCACCTCACACATAGAGATGTGTGTGTTTGTGTGTGTGTCAGTACTGAGGAGTTGTTGTTTTTGATCAGAGCTGCATTTCGTGTTTGTGTGTTTTTCTCTGCTTCCTCTCGCTGCGTAGCTTGTGCTGCGAGTGAAGCTTCTCATATCGAAGTCTAGGGTTTGTGGTTTTGTGGCCCGGATGGGTGGGTGCGTTTAGCTTTTTCCTGAGGTAGTCTACGCACTAAGGTTAGCGGCACAGAGGTAAAGATGTAGGAAACTGACTTGGTTAGGAACTTGGAGTCAGAGAGAGGGAGGCCCTGCTCCGACAAAACAGCCTTCACTTTAAACAAAGAAGGTCAGGGGATTATTTTTTACCAAACATGGTTTTTAGCTGATCTGTCGTTGGTTTGTAGCAGCACTCAAAACTGAATTTTTAATTGTATTTATGACACATTTTCTGAAATACTTTCTTAAACAATGTTGCCCAGTGTGCTTCTTGTGTACAATAAACATACAATATTCAAAAGTTTTTGAATACATTGTTTTACAGGTGAGTAATACCATATTCTAAAGAGTAAATTTGAGATTTTCAGCTTGTTAAAAAACTTTTGAATAAAAGAGCCGACCAGGGTTAGTTATTAAAGCCATTGATTTTAATTTATTAACCACACAAAGACATCCACAATTAGTTGTGGGGCTTATTGTGATGAAAATGCTGCTCTAAGTGCCGTCGTTCATTGAAATCAAAGGAGGTTGAGCTGTGAGAGGCCATTTGTCATCATTAAAGTTGTGTCCTGTCATCTATTTCAATATGGCAATGCGGTTGACGGTTTGATAGCTCACAATGTGGGAAATAAAAAATGTCTAATGTCTAATCTAACTTAGAAAAACTAACTGACTTTAAAGCATATTTACATGTGCAATATTTCATTTACACTCAAAAAAGTATATTCTTTAATAAGCCGGTGAAGTAAACTTATAATTCAGATACAGTTTATTTATGGTTTTGCAAAGAGAAATTTCTGCAAGCTGATGTAATTCTAAGAAATATTTATGCGTCTAAACGTATTTTAAAAGTGTTCAAATTTGTGCTTTACGGGGTCTTTTTTTTCTACATTGCAAGCACTCATCATCATCATCATCATGCATGAATTAAGACGCCAGTTCCTCCATTGTTCCAGTTTATTTTTTAGATTATTTACAGGCAGAGAGAGAAAGAAAAGGTGACTTTATATACCCCGTTGCTGCGTTTTGTTTATCACACTGTGAGAGTCCTTGAACGACAGCGGAGTGACTCCGCCCCACAAATGTCGTGGAATAGACACAACTTCTCCTAAGTGCTGAGGTCTTCATGTGCGCTCGTGTTTCCCAAGGAGAGCAACCTGACTATACAAGAATGAAGAATAAGCCTGTTACTCTTTGTGAGACCTAGCCGAAACTTAAGACAACACATTTCAAGATGAATACATTTTAAATCTCCTGAGTGAACCGAGGACGTCGGTGTCAGGAGGCAGAGAGAAAGAAGAAAAACAAATGAACCCACGGCAGTCGGTGGCTACAAAGAAACAATGTGAAACCTGAACAGTATTTCTGATCTACATGTGATGGACTTGCAGATGTGCTGCAGCACGAGTGTCTGTGATCTACACTCTGTGAAGAATGCTGGCCTACCAGCTGCGGTTTAGCAAACATGCTGCCATCTTTGACCACAGCGCAGCATCTTGCCAAGAAGTGACTTGAACAAGAAACTATCCTCCTTGTTTTTTCAAAATATTACAGGAAATCACTTGTTGTCTTTGGTTGTCAATGTAAGTCCCCGGAGGAGGCATATTAATTGTGAAATCTTTACTTTCTGAACGTCAACATTTCCGCTTTGAAAAAACAGCTGCATTTGCATCAATGGTGTTTTTCTATACTCAAACTAGATGCAACATCAGCAGAAGCAGCAAAGAAATGCACATTTTGATCTTTGTGCTTCTTTCTCAGAAAAATATGCAGCTCAATATTGTATAGTTACTGAAACCTTCTTTGAAGCATGTGCACTCTTAGTTCGTGTTATTTGAGTCTGAGTGAAGTCTGCAGGATGTAGTTGGATATTAGTTGAGTAGAGTTCACACCACTACGTAGTGACTACAAGAGTAAAGGTGTTGGGTAGTACTAGAATTAAATAGAGTGTTCTGGGGGGGATCAATATATATATATATATACAAAAAAACATTTTATATACACATACATATATAATGATTTACAGACACTCCAATTTGAAGTTGTTAAATAATAGAGCAAACATTGCATTAGCCTTACACACTTGCAAAATACCTGTCTGTACACAGCTTTAAATATACTTTTTTTATATAGAGTGATGTAGGAACACACATATAGTATAGAATAATTCTGCTCCTTTAAAAGCCCTCTTCAATTGTATGTTAAAAGGTTTAACTTAGAACTTTAAAAGATTATTTCTGGTTATTACAGTGTGGTTCTATCAGTGACAATAATCCCCAAGTAGATTGCTTTTATCTTTGACCTACAAGTCAAGTGGAGAAAAAAAACAAGATTGTAAACAAACCAATTGATTATACAGAACAAATCCCTGATATGAGGCCGTGGAGACAAAAGGGCAGGACATTTGATTTTTCTGCAACAAATAGTGGATCTTCAGACTCTGAAATTCACCTTGTTTCTAGTGAAATAGTTTTCAGGGTTTCCCCAGGACGTGGTTTCGTGGAGGTGGGAGGTGCATTTCCCTTTTCTAAAAAACTCGAACATTTCTAAAAAAAATGTGTTTTTTTTATATGCCAACACCCGGCTGAATCTGACAAATCCTGACGCACCTCATCATGTGACCACAATAGTTACTATGTAGGTTTAATCCTTAAAATTAGGGTTGGTAATACATTCTAGAAGAAATGCAAAAAAGTGCAATACTTGTATAAATGTTATATGTTATTCTGTCGGGCGAGCCAATGCGCCTCTACTGCTGAATGACTGAAATAAAGGTTTCTTGCATTTAAATTGCTTCATTCTTCATGGTGAAATAGAAAACTGGACAATCCAAAAGAGAGAAAGCTACTGCAGCTCAAAAAGCTCTCTGGTAACATTTATTTCAAATGGAGTAAAAACTATTCTCTATCTAAGTAATGGTTTATGGACATTTACAGTACAATGGTACAAATGCTTATTTTTAAATGAACTGTGCGGACTTGTTGTTATTGACTGAATTGACTTTTATTTAAAGACATATTTTTATTGGACAAAATGTTAGGCGGTTGGGATTGAACAGGCCACTTGGCTAGCCTGTTAGCATTTAGCTTGTGAGTTAGCTCTTCTGCCTTCTCCCAGATCTCAGCAATCAACAAGGTGAGAACAAGGTTATTATCACTGACGGAACCAGTGTCTGAACCCGCTAAAATAAGATCACGGTGTTAATGAACCTTTTTTTATAGTAATGTTCCTCACGGCGCCTGGAGCAAAGCCTCCAAGAGCTTCAGTGTGACTCGAAACCGCTGTCCTACGTGTTTCTGCCGCCACAACCGTGGCTCTAATCTACCGTGTTTCACCTCTTCAGTAGCTTCCAAACAGGTTGACTGCATGGGTGGGTGCGTAGGCGAGTCCCCTACAGTACATCAGAAAACCGCACATGCAACTGAAAGCCTCAGATTAGCTGACATCAGTGTAACTTTGTTGTTTTGTCTTATCTTTTTGCTTTTTTTTTTTTTTTCAAAAAGAAGTTCAGGTCCCGCAAGCAGATTTTTAGTTAAGATTCCACTTCTGATGCAAATGAAACCCATGTTTTAAAAGAAGAAAGCACGGGGGTTATCTTTGCTTGAAACCCTGCACAAATAACTTTGCCGATTGAAGACAACGTTTCTGGTGTCAGATCTCCCGAGATAGGAATACAGTACATTTAAAAAGCAGGTCTCATGCAGCTGCGTGTCTGTCTTTTTGTTCCTGTTATTTTTTTGTTGGGTGGTCTGGGCAGTCGTGACATCAAACGGTTTTAGTGTTGTTCAGATCCTCACAACGTCCGAGAAGAATCCCAGTTTGTAATTTAAAAGTCTCTGTACAGAAGAGCATCCCGTGCTGTGGGACATTGACCCCCGACCCCTCTATGTACAGCTCATGGGAGGAACATCGACGTGAGACATGTGGTACGGCAACATTTGCAAAAATATATCTTAATATGGATTTTGTTTTGCCATAAAGACGAAGCACTCAAAACGTACACATCTTACAGGCTTAGAACAACTTAAAGTGCAAAAATACTTAGATTTTTGGACAAGCCGCAAGCATTAAGTCGCTTCAGCAGTGCCCCGCCCTGCAGGGCATCTTCATCATCATGGCTTCAGGGTTAAAACCAAACCGTGTTCTCCAGCTTCAGTTGTCGGCAGATAAAATGTGGGACTGGAATGTTTGATACTTTTCTTCACTGCCTGTCACTCTGACGACTTCTCATTTATCTGTCGATCATTTTTCAAAAAGGCAACTTCCCCCAGATCACGTTCCTTTGCAAAGAGAAACGCAGTGTGTGTGTGTGTGTGTGTGTGTGTGTGTGTGTGTGTGTGTGTGTGTGTGTGTGTGTTTGCGTGTGTGATAGAAAACGTCCAAGCAGGTTAACAGTAGTTAAAGCTAAGTGTAGAGAATACTCTGACCTCGCCTCAGATCTCCCTGATTATTGAAACTGATGAACCCTGACCTTTGGACACAAAGAGGCCCCCCTGAACCCGCCTCTCACACCTCGTACTTTGCCGCACTTTGCTAAATCCACGTGTACAACACTGTGAAGCGGGAAAAAAATACAACAACACAATACCTGAAACCACACAACAAGACTTGTTACAAAACAGCAGAAACCAGAACCGGGGATCATACGGGCGGGGCTGACTGGAGGGCGACCCGTGAGGGACTCTGCATGTGGACTCGGGAGTTCCCCAGAGACACGAGTGTAAAGTGCTTACCGCTTGTAACGGGCGCCCTGCACTCATTTTGCGTCCCTGACTTGTAGGTTATTGCGTACACGGCCGCGCCGGCCGTTCCCCGCTCTCCGTCTCCCGCGTGCCGTTACGTAATCTACAAAGAGGAGAGCGCCTGATGTGTGCCGGGTGGTTGCCGTGGCAATCAGATCTTGCTGTTCTCCAGGTGGGAGTCGATGTGCTTGATGAGGGCGTCGTCGGGGTAACCCATGGGGAATATCAGCTGGCAGAGAGGGCAGCTCCGCATGTCGCTCTCCTCCGTCTCCATCCAGAGCTGCGGAGGCAACACACACACACACACACACACACACACACACACACACACACACACACACACACACACACACACACACACAGAGGTATTAGATTCATCACATGCAGGCACAAACTTCACTGGATTGTATTAGTCACAGTGTGGGAGGCAACACAATTGCCACTCGGTGAGTGATTATCGCTTCAGACGTTTTGAAAGCAACTCGTAGTAAAACCAGCTCTCCTCCGGTATCATTAGTCAATGGCCATTAAAACACATCTCATAAAGAATTACATTAAAGCTTAAAGTTCCTCTTCATTGTGTTTCGGTAAAAAATCATTTGAGGTAAAGAGAACTTTAAAGAACCATCGATATGGGTTAAAGTAGCCAACATAGTTGGTCTGAAAAGGGAAACGTTTTTTCTATTTTCAGTAGATGCCAGTTAGACTGATATCTAACGTCTCATCTCAGAAAGGAAGTAAGTGACTGTATTTATGTATTAACGTATCTAAAGGCGGTAGAGACATGAAGAGAGAGGCCTTTATTGGCTTGTCACGTTATTTGGGGGAAAAATAATCCTTTTTAAAGAAGGTTGTTGGAACCGGCTCAGTAAACTAAAGCTGTGAGGGACACTACCTGGTTTCACGATCCCTCGTTTATCCTCACATTTCACACAGATGTGATCCTGTTTTACACCTTGTCTGGACTCACATTGATCGAAGGCCAGGACTGCGCGTGCTCTGCTGACATGTATCCCGGCTGCGGGTGGCAGCTCAGGGTGTTTGACCTCTGAGGGATGGGGAAGACTGAGCAGGACGCCGGGCCCCTCATGGAGGCGCAGGGCGCCGCGGCGGAGAGCACGCCCAGCGTCCGCGGGGGGCTGATGGGATGCGGGCAGTTCCACTCCTCCTCCTCGTCTTCCGAGGACTGCGGGGGCTGGGGGGCCGGCGTGGAGGGCGGCGGGGGCTCAAAACGCAGGTGGGCCACCTCGGACAGCGGGAACGGCATCTCCCTGGAGTGTCGCATGGAGCTCTCCCCGAGGCCCCCGTCGCCCCCGGGGCCGCCTTGGTGGTGGGACGGGGAGCCTCGGTGCAGCGGGCCCCCGTGGGAGGAGCCCCCGCGCTGCTGTTTGGCGTAGCCATCGATGTAGGGCCGAGGCTTCGGCAGGGTGGCCACGGGGTCCAGGGCGAAGCGGGGGGGGCACTGGTAGGCGGAGGGGTCGGCCACCTCGGAGTAGCTGCGGCGGCCCTGGAAGCTGGCCCTCAGGTGCTGGCTGGGCGGGCGGCAGGAGTAAGAGGCCGGCTCGTCGCTGACGTCCAGCAGGGGGGAGCGGCGGTGAGTGTCGGGGGAGAGGCGCTGCGGCACCGGGGAGCGTCTCTGTGGGATGGGGGAGTGGTGCGAGGGAGGCGGGACGGGGGAGTGGCGCTGGGAGACGGGGGAGTGGCGCTGAGATGCCGGTGAGTGGCGCTGAGGAACCGGAGAGTGGCGCTGGTGGTGGATGGGAGAGTGGCGCTGGACTGAGGGAAGAAAAACAAACAGTTGGCTGATTAGAACGGTGGATGAAGCATTGTTGGGGATGAGGGGCTTTGGATATGAAGTTGGAGATTTTGTATATTAGCTTTTATTATTTATTGCAACATCTGAAACCTTTTAAGAAAGAGGTGATTCATGATGTTTAATACAGACTTATAAACAGTGGCGGCTGGTCCATAGAGGGCAGGGATGAGAAACAAAGAAAAAAAAGTATTAATTGTTGTTGTTTATTATATTAAAAACACATTTTACAAATAGTCAATATTTGAATATTTGTATTTTTAAAAGGTGCATTATATACCCAGTAATATTTGTAAATATTTAACTTAGAACTTTATTTGCGCAAAAATATATGGATGTTTAGCTAGCTAGTTAGCTACATGCTGACGCCGTATATTGCATGACGTCACCGTGTTAAAGTTAACATCGCTATCCAGCTGGATGCATCTCAATATACGTACATATACATGTTCTAATAGAATTTATAAATATATTCATATTGTAAAATATGTATCCTTTAATATAATATATTCATTAAATGATATTTCATTAAATGATTTTACTACCATATCGTAACTATTATATCATATTGTTTTTTATATATAGTTATATAAATATTCATTTATATACTGAATTGTTTAAAAAAGATGTCCTTTAACGTTAAACTGGAATAAATGTTAAATATTTAACAGCAAAGTAATAATGCGTGTTTGATACCCTTTTTTGCATTAAGTCATACTGCGATGTTTACTGAAACGATTGGCTGGACCTTCCAACCTGCTTTGGCACCAAATGGAACAGTGCTCTGAGGACAACTTGTGATCTGGGATTATTCACTGTAGTTTTGGTCAGACTCCTCTCGTCCCCCAGTGAAATGCTGCAGCACACAACCTGGTTGACCACTATGGCCCCTTTTTTCAGAAAAGATACGCAAAGCTACAGCGGTATCTGTCAATATAAAAGTAAATGTTAGAGACTTTAGCCGTCTCTTAAAGCTCCGTGTTGGTCTCTCATGGACACAAAGCCAGTTCCTTAAAACAAAATGGTGTTTTTACCTCTTTACCGGGAGGTAAATGCACATTATGGGTATTCATAAAATAGATTTAGATCTGCAAGTTGTACAGGTTAGTGTAATTAGATCATGTTGATGAGTCAGTCAGCCCTTGAGTCACCACTTCCCATATCAAAGAGGAAACATCGGTCGGTCGAGGTGTTAGAAGGGGCGGAGGTGTTGGTGCTCTGAAGCGCTCTGAAAGCCTCCGAGATGGAAAAACTAAAACGGGACTTCATCTCTCTCTTACCGCGTAACGCCCAGGAGAGCTTTCAGAACACACAGATTCCCTCTACAACAATTCACAAGTGAACATTTGTTTTGTTGTTTCAAATATAGCGGTAGTGAAATGGCCTGTTAGCGCGGCGAGAATGTGTGAGAGTGTTTATGTTTACAATAACTCACGCATCGTACAAAGATTAATCACAAACGCGTCTCTTTGAAATGTCTCCTCACGTGAAAGATCATGTGAGGGAATTCAGCAATGGCTGCAGAAAACTGGAATGATAATTTATGAAAACACTTCTCAGTGTTTAGAAATGAGCCCCGTTGTGATTTCTCAACTCTCAGTAATATATTTGTTTAATACTCATTTAGCGCCCCATTTTCCTGCGTGGGGGTAATCGCGTGTTCTTTCTCTTTGAACGCAGGACCACTTTAACTGAAGTAAAAGAAAGCAGCAGTGTGGACTGCGACACGGGTTCTTTACCACGGCGTGTCTTCCATCCATGCTTACCAGGACTAGCCTGCTCCTGTGAGGCTTTCCTCAGGATCTCCGTCTGCTTGGAGCTCAGCGCTTGGAGGCGTCCCAGCTCCTCCGTCAGCTCTGTGTAGGCCAGGGCCAAGTTCACCCTGGAGGCAAAGAATCGTTGTCACTGATATTGAAGGCAATTTGCAAAATGCAAAAAGTTAATCAGTCATTTCCAGTGAATCTGCATCTCAAACCCACACTGATCTCCAGCTGAACGAGCTCTGCAGCACTGGCGCTGCCTCGCTCATTGAGAGGCTTATCGGCTTATATTTTCAGAGCGCATGTCACGGCACATCATTTTGAAGTACATAAAAACCCTATCGTTTCATGCAAAGATGTGTCACGAGTCTCTCCGGGGCGGCGCTGATGGAGCGACTCTATTTCAAGCACGGTAAACAAGGACGCCTGTCTTACACGAGTCTCTGAAACCATGGCAACGGGCCGACTTTGAGTCAACTCGGTAGCTTCCCGACGGATCTGAGCCCCACGATTTGAATTGCTGTTAAATAATCTCTGCGCAGCTTTAAGCGCCTTGAGAGACTCGTTTTAACTGTGTGTGGTTGGAAGCAGAAAAGAAGAGGCTGCCAGCTGCCGTCAAATCTGACAACACACAGCGTATCTCAGACGTCGAACCAATTTTTTGTAAACTCCACGCACCCTGACATGAAATTCACTCATTTCGGCTCCGACAGCGGTAGATCAGAGAGTTGATTGCCCGACTGCGGAATGTGAAACCCTGAAATCTAACTTTGAATCTGATAATCAGCTTAGATCCAATGTTCAGATAGAGCTGAGACAAACTTCCACTAGATATTATTGACGTTGACATTCAGATCCAGGTTTCAGACTATATGTTCTGTGTAACTCAGGTTTCGGATGTTCACCAAAAAACTCTCCATGAACCATGTTGGTTTCCTGTATTTGTCACAGGCGTCTTGTTGTACCCGCGCAACCTCGATGCGACTCAAAAAATCCATTTTTCAACCTCCTGATCATAATTTGACTAAGTTGATGCCTCCTTAGAGATGGTGGCAGATAAACGTCTGTATAGAAGGGAAAAGAGGTTCACTTTTACTGCAGCACCGAGAAAAAAGACCAGAAAAGCACACTTATACCGCCTTCACAGCAACAAAAAAAAGCCACCGTCAAATAAAAAGTATGTTTCCCAGCACACCCGCACTCTAACTTAATTAAGCCTTCCCACTGTGTGTGTGTGTGTGTGTGTGTTAAGCCTGCTACTCCTGTAAGCTTTAAAAGGAACCCTGCATTTATTTTCTGTATATATTCTGTAACAATAAGTTTTTTTTTTAATCTTCTTACATTTTGTGCACACAAGTTGGCCGTGTTGCTTATTCACACATTATTAAACCCACTACACGCCGCTGCAATTTCCTAAGCCCAATTTTTCTTTAAAACAGAGACACCCGCTGGAAATAAGTTTCCACGGGTTGGTTGGCTTTTTCAAGGGGCCCACCTAGTTTTCCACTAACTCTGACTCACACAAGTGGGGTCTCAAACCCCCTTCCACCCGCCACCTTGGAACCAGCAACGGCCCTCCCTCTGACTTGCTGGCAACGACGTGACTCAAGGTCATCTGAAAGCCTACAACACCTTCATGCGCCAGCAGGAGAACAATCAGAAGTTTACTTACTGCCGTTGCATGGTGGGTGCTGCATGAAATACGGTATTGATAGCTCCAAAAATGACTGCTGCAGCTCTGCTTGGACCTCTCTCTCTCTGTTCTGATCGCAGGTGTAAACTAAAATTCTCGACATGTTTAGGTCCGTGCGCCTCTTTCCATTCGCACTTGCGCTGCGTCGGGGTCGGGCTGCGACACCTCTCAGCGCATGCAGACGTGTGAACACCTGCAAGCATCATTTCACAAACGTCTCTGACATCAGGTCGGTCTAAAAATATGTTTCGGGCCTTTTCCTGCATGCGTTCCGTTCGTTTCGCATTTGTTTTGTGTGTTTTATTATTTATTTTGCTCATTTGTGCCTAACACCGCAAAAAAACTGCACAATGTACTGCACGGCGCGTAGGAGGGCCGCGTTAGCTGCAGATGCTGAATCAATTGGATGAAAGGGTGCATGTGTGAGGAGGAGATGAAGAGAAGAGAGTGTGGGCAGGAATGTGACCTCCGATCCGATCAGACGCTTTAAAGTAAGAGCTGCCTACAAGATCGGAGTAATAATAAACCTTGTGGGGCTCAGTCTGTGGGCTCCAGGGGGAACACAAGAACTAAATAAACCCACTGTGGTTGTGTTTATTTGGAAAAAATATTCATGGGGGGAGAATTTTGGTTGCAGGCCTTTGGATTCATGGGGGGGGGTTGGTAGAACGGAAACGGCTTTTCACACTTGCACGAGGCACTTTCAGCCGAACTCAGAGAGGTGTCAAACAGTCCGCACCGGTGTCTGCCCATCTCTCCCACAACTTGTCAACCGTTTTTTTTTTGGGTGGTGAACACAGATTAAATCTATTTACACAATAGAATACCGGGGCGACACTTTTTTTTTGGGGCTTCCAGGGATGAAACCTGGAACACCCTTAGAGTTCTCTATGTATTTTCCAAAAATAGAAAGGAGATATCTATCATCATGTTGGGAATTAAAAAAACACCTCCCCTTTTTAAAAAGGGATGGGGGGTTTATTCGCTGCTTTTGACCCACCCTTTAATATGACTGCGGTCTGGGGGGGGGGGGGGGGGGGGGCTGTGTGGCTTGTGGTTGGTGAGAGCATCCACCAGTAATACCAGTCCTGAGTGACGAACATCACAAACGACTTCAAATTGACTGGTTGTAAGATGAGCAGAAAGACAAAAAAAAACAATATAGAAGAAGATAGAATTTGTTTTGCTTCTTATATGGTGAAAGGTTAATATTGTGTTACATTGAATGTTTGAAGAAAATGTTGTTTTTTCGCCTCCACAGTGTCTGAAAATTGGATTAAAAAAATGGAAAAAAACGTCCAACTGCAAAACTGTCCGTCCCCCGCTCACTGCTTCAACAACAAATGCACGATAAAAGCTCACTAGATAAGTTGAAAATACAAACGGATATAAACACGATCAAAAGTGGGTCCTTGTTAAAGTGCTGTCGATTAACAGGGCAAAGGTCGTGTGTTTGTGCTTCACAGCTCCACATGAATCTGTGCAGTTTCCACTAAATGGGCCCAATTACAGTAAAAAGCCGCAGGAAGCAGGGGGGGGGGGCGCTGTAGGTTTCCAGTGGGAGTTAGTGATATTGTTGAGTAAAACCAAAAGGTGACCGAGGTCTGGAAAGAAGCAGTGGGCTTTCACCACACACTCGGCCCCAACCTCCCCTGCCACAAACTTTACTTTCAGTTTGTCTATGCGTCGAAAAACCAACTCCTTGAGTTTCAGAGTGTGTGAGTCATTGGCCCGGCCTGCTGCGGTTTGGACTCTCGCTCCTCGTAAACATGCCGTGCAACGCGGGGCCATCGCATGAAGGCGTGAACACGAGCGGCTTTCTTTTCTCTCTCGCGTGCAGCAGTGGAAACACTTGAAAGCCTATCGTTGTGTGGTCTCAGGCAGGTTGTCTCTGATGACGAGGAAGTGGACAGGAAGACGTTCTGCGCCGTGCTTACGCTGCCCTCTGCTGCTCAGCGAACGTTGAGTAAGAACCATGACGTTACAATGCAATGCTCTTGTTCAATGCAGCGTTTGTGCACAAAGAAGAACCATCCAGTAGCAAGGCTGGGGTTTTGAACCCAGTTAGCCAGCGATGGTGAGCGCTGTTGGTTTTTAATGAGGCCTCTGGAGGTCATCCCAGCAGGAGCATTAAGATTTATATGAGCAGCTGCTTACAGTCAAACATGCTGCCTTTGGCTCTTGTTTTTGCTTGCTTTCCTGGCCTAGACGATGCTCCATCACTATCTCTTTCCCTTTCTCGCACCTTGCCATCGCTCCGAATGTTCATGCCTCCCCCCCCCATTCCTCCCTTGGCCCAGATATCAGCTTTGGTCACTTACTGCTCGTCTCCCACCTTCTTTATCCACTCCACATCACACTGCTTGCACGGAGAAGTCATTTCCTGCCGAAGTAGAGCGTGAAATTAGATTAGCATGCAGGTGCTGGTAGAATATTGGACAAAACCTGACAGCATGTCTGAAGGTAACATCGTCAGAAATAAAGGAGACAGGGTTGATATTATTCAAGCACTGTGTGTTTGTGTGTACTATTGTGCAACGGTCATCTATGAAGCCCAGATTTCTCCTATGAAGAAATACACAACTGTATTTGTAAATTGTGTGGGTGTGAAGCAGTTAAAAGGATTGATACCATTCTCATATCTTTACTATATACCTACTGCCAAAGATAGAGATAAATTAGCTTAGGTTAGCACAAAGACTGGAAACAGGGGGAACCAGCAAGCCCCACTTTGGGGCAAAGAAACACGACCCATAGACGGGAATCAGGCGGCAACCTCAGGTTCTAAGAAGTGAAGCCAATGTCTTTATCTCTTAACTCTGCATTCTCTCTAGCGTCCAGCAGGGGGCGACTCCTCTGACTGCATAGCACTCCATGACAAAATCACTCTACGTGCTGACGTGCAGAACTCGAGGCTTCAAAACAGTAGTTCTCAAATCAGCAGGTGACATCATGGTGTCTGTTTATTTAATCACTAAAGCTTTTGACCATATTTCCAGTCTTTGTGCAATGCTAAGCTAACCTGACTGCTGGCAGCAGCTTCATATTCCATGTAAGAGTTGAATCACTCTTCCTCACTTGCAAACGGCTCCTTTAAGATTGAGTGCAGCACGAGACAGTTACACCATACATGTATATATATATATATATATATATATATGCCTCTCTGGCAGCGATGCTGTCGTAATTTAGAGGACGAGACCAACACTGACCCTGTCCCTTCGGCTGCCCTGCAGCATCCTTATGTCCTCCTTTAGTCTCTCACACTCCCCCTTCAGCTCCTCCTCCCTCCGACACGCCCCCTGGGCCTCGTGCCGCGCCCCCTCCAGCTCAGCCTCCAGCCGCTGCAGCTTCAGGTCGGACAGGGTGTCCAGGCTACGGGAGCTCTGCAGGGTCAATGTCGGACAGTCCAGCACTGGGAACAGAGATAAAGAGAGAGAGAAACTTCATTTTCACCGCCTTTGGCCCTGACTAAGGCGGCGTTCTTTCTATTTTTCCATCCTCGGTTGCTGTACAATGGATGAGTATGAGAGAGCCGGGGAGCTGACGTCCTCCAAGGGCGCCGTCTTTCAGTTCGTACCTATGGGTGATGTGATCTGCGTGGGCATGTCAGTGATTCAGCTGCGCTCACACAGACTCACCCTCTCAGTCCTTGAGCCGGGAGACACCTCGTCTTTTGTGTCCCGCTTCCTCCGGCCTCCGAGTGTTTATTCATGTGGCATTCATGGTCTGATATTTTATTTTAATCATGGATTTCTTTTTTTCATGGCTGTTCATGAAATATTTTATGATTAATGGATGGATACAGAGAATTTCTCCACAATTCTCTCAGTAAATGTCAAAAAGAAATTTTAAACCCAGCTTTGTAAAATGTTTCCTTTTCTCTTCTGGAAAACATATGCAAATTTGCACATATTTAAGAAGACAATGTCTCATTTGCATACGTAAGCGTACATATTTGCAAAAAATAATATAATAATAATAATATATATATAATAATAATGAAGGTAATCCACTCCTCAAGGCAATATCTAGTTAAACGTTTTAACCTTTTCACTCAAGTACTTCATCAGTGGGGGCATCTGCTGCGGTGGCGGTGACACATTTCCATCAGCCACCCACCACGTCTCAGAGGACATCGACTGACTCCAGACCAGCTAAAGTTTAACAGAATGTTTGATCCTCAATACAAGAGGCGCTGTTGACTTCATCAGAATGTAAGGTTTTAATAGCCTGCTTATTAGATTCATTCATTTAAACGCAGAGAAAACTGTGGCCCGCATCTTTGAAACGTTGACACAATTTGAATCATCTCACAGGTTTTATAGCATTCTTGTTACTTGTTAAAATAGAGATCACTCGGCTGTAGAGATGGAAGCAACAGGCCCAATAATACTGAAAAATCAAATACACACAACCAGGCACAGACAAATGTTTGGATTTTGGATTCCTGCGTCTAGGAAGCTGGAACAAAATATCCGAGCTGGTTGTCTCCAACAGGGCGGGGATCAACTTGACATCAGGGCGCTTCTACTGGCCGGACTTAAGGATTTGATTTGCGGAGAAGAGATGAGCAGTGACTCTGGTGTCTTGGCTGGATAGATGTATTTAGTATTCAGAGCAAAAATGTGTTTTCAAAGTCTATATTTACAGCACAGAAGATAATAGTGTTTGATACTCAGTCATTGTGGAAAGAGCTTTTTATTTTGTCTCTTTTAGAAAAATCATAGTTTTTAAAATGTGTTTCATTCTACTTTGATTATTCAGTTAACGTTGAGTTTAAATTATATTAAATTATATTATATTTAAGGGAAACCAAGCCAAGATAGATGTTGAAGGAATTGTTTCCTTTCACAAGAGATGTAAGACATTTAATATTTAGTTTATGCTCTGTTTCCTCCTGCAGGTTCTGGAGGTGACGGGGATGACGGGGGTGACGGGGAGTGGCGGGGGCCTCACTCACTGCGTGCGTCGGGGCCGGCGTGCAGCTGCAGGTACTGCATGTCCTTGCTGTGCAGCTGCATGTTGAGTTTCTGCAGGGAGTTGTCCCTCTGCCGCAGAGCCGACTCCAGGCCCAGGATTCGCTCCATGTGCTTCTCCACCAGGCCGGTCTGCAACCACACACATTCATTTGTGCATTATGTGCATTATGTCAAAGCTAAAGTAAGTGCAGTTTAGTTTTTTAAACTGACAAACCGTTGACTTAATTAGAAAAGTGCTCAAGAAATATGAAATTTCTCATTTTTACTTGTCATTGTGCAAAAAAAACCCACACACACAATAACGTACATATTCATAAGATATTAATATCATGTAGATTAGTAAGTGCACTGCTGCAAGGTTAAAGGTCAGTTAGGCCCTGTAGGAGGCTGGGGTGACATAGAGGCGTCCCCGTCATCACCGTGCCAACATAGGAACTGCTGAGTCGGCTCGGCACGCTGTATGAGAGGGATTATTATCACAGAGGTGATTCTGGGAAAGAGCAGCCGGGCAAATCTGCTCAGTTGGAAGCGTCTACCTCGCCTGCGTCGACTGATTCGTAACTCGGCCACAGAGGTTGAAAGGAGTAGGACGATGAAGCTAAGTGTGTGAGTGAAGTGTGTGCGGTGTGTGTTTTTAAACTGATGGAAAGTTGCCGCGTCTTGGACAATAATGTGCTGTTTGGAAAAATCTCACAAACTCTAAAAGGACTTTTCTCTCCAAAGAGCTTCTAACTAAAGCTAAAGTAATGAAACAAGGCCAGCTAAAGTGACTCTTTTCTTCTTGATTGTACTATCAGAGTGAAGAATATAATATCTGCCATGTTCATGGCCAATGTGTGACATCATCCATGCCGGCGTTTGCATTTCATATCCAGCAGAATGTGAAGCTGTGAGAATGTTTTGATTAATGGGCCGTTGGGTTTCTGCAGCGTTCCAAATGAATGCACGCCGTTCAATGGACCTCATGTGATGTGATTCCCATGTGATGTTCTCACCATCTTGTCCAGGTCCCTCTGGAGGTTGCTCTTCTCCATGTGGATCTTCTCGTAGGCCTGGATGACGTCCTCCAGCTGCTCCTCTCTCTCCTTCCTCTTCTGGAGCTGAAGCAGTGATGCACATGCAGACAAAAAGAACAACATCAACAAACAAAAAAAGGGTCGACACAGATTTACTTTTTGTTCCCTTCTTTGTCAGTTTCCCTCCAGAGAGAGAGAGAGAGAGAGGGAGAGAGAGAGGGAGCGGGAGAGAGAGAGAGAGAGAGAGGAAACACAACTTGCATTTCTCTGAGAAGCTGTTTTGTAACGAAGCAAATTCAGGACACGGAAATCCTGACACCTCAGCGGCCTCGCACGCCTCCCCCGTCTCCACAAACGTATGAATGATGACTTTGCCACTGCTTTAAATAATGCATTTCTCTGCGTCTGGCTGTGCCTTAATGAGGGGGGTGAATGTCGCTGGGGGGAATAATCCCACCCCTGACAGGGCCTGAGTGAAGAGGGAAGCGTGTCTGAGAATACGGTTACTTAAGGCGCGCAGTGAGGACGGAGAGAAGCAGCGCGTCTGTGGTGACATTTGCTTTCAGGGGAAACGTGTTTGGTCGCCTGGTCAGCGAGGAAGTTAATAGCTGAAGATGTTCTCATTATCACCTTATGCCACATGATCACAAAATGCTAATTCATTTGTGTTCCATAAACTATTTGTTACTGGCAGTGGTCACTAAAAACTGATACTTGCTTTCAAAAGCTTGATGCTCACCACATTTACTTATTATTTAAACCGCAAGTAATGTGGTGCCACGTGTGTACAGCCTACTGGCCTTGGCTTGCATACACTAGATCTTCAGGTGGTGATATTTATGAGCTGACTGGTTTGAGCAGCTCCTGTGTATGTATGAGACTTAAAACCTCATCTGGACTACACGAGGGTCTATTTGATCCTAAATAGAATGTATTTGTCATATATCAAATAAATATAAACCCACATTTCTTTTAGATTTTGGCACAGTAATAAAGCAAACTGTCTGTTGATTTTGTACTTGTACTAGTCGTGTATATTTCCCAAATGCACAAAAAAAGTTTTTAATATTCATCGAATGTTTTATCTGCATTTTATCAGAAAAACATCAACTTAAGTTTGTTTTTGGCTTTGTGACATTTCATTTTCCCACAGGAAATGTGCCGCCTTTTCTTCATCTTCTTGATAACTGCAAGGCACCACTTTACCCATAGGAAGAGAACTCTTATGTTACGCTGTCCTTGATTTTTCTCCAACAGTCCAGAGTGATTTTCCAACAGGAAGGAGAGCGGAGCTTTCATTCATTCTACCAGGTATGTGTGTGTGTGTGTGTGTGTGTGTGTGTGTGTGTGTGTGTGTGTGTGTGTGTGTGTGTGTGTGTGTGTGTCAGCATCAGCTGTGTCACTGCATTCAGTCATGGGGAGGTAAATGTCACGCAACAATTAAGGCTAGAAGTCATCTGGTTGATATGTACTAGATTCAGTCTGCACACTTATAGGCTGAAAAGATTAGTATTAGATTTTGCATACATTTTAATTGAGAGTGAGATCAGAAAAGGGTTTAAAAAACATTTCTCGTTTCATCTCGGATTTATTTTGTGGTTTATTTGATTAACATTAATTTAAAAAATCCTGTATATGTGCCAGTCATCTAAAAGGCTGATTTTCATCTGTAGTTGCAGATACTACAAAATAAACGTAAAAACAGAAGATAGGATTAAATTAAAAATGCTAAACAATATTGACGCTTTATGATTGAGAATAAAACTGCTACATTGTGGCGTACAAACAAGTCTGTGCAACACAGAGGCTTTCAAAGTGAACACACACAGATCAAAAGGCAGGGATGACTGTGTTGGACCAGAAACACAGAAAAAAAACAATGCTATGCTGACATTGTTAGAGAAAGAAGAACGTCACAGAACATGAGCCGACCAAGCAACAAAAAGGACACGTGTGCAGGTAGACGAGGGTCACACCTGATCACCTGAGTGAGAACTGGGTCCCCAGTGGGTTACTTAAAAACGCACACAGTCGTTTTCGCTTGGTTGGCAGCTTCACTGTTTGATAAGTTCTGTCTTTTAGCGTATATGTCCAGCAGGGTTGGCCTCAATTTTCCTCTTTTAATCAATTATTTCACACGTAAGAATCACTGAGAAAACCCCTTTTCTTTTTTATTGCATTCAGTTTATTTAAATGATTCCCCTCTTTTTTGCTAACACACCGTATCCCCTCCCGCCTCTGCCTTGTCTCATATCTCCTCTCCCACCCCTCGCCTCCCTCCCATGCCCCCCCCCCCCCCTCACCACCTGCTCCCCCTCCTCTTCTGCTCCCCCTCCTCTTCTGCTCCCCCTCGCTTCCGCTCATCCCTCCTCTCACCTCGTGGGTCAGGACGTTGACTCGCTGCTGCAGGCTGCCATTTTCTGAGTGCAGCAGCGCCGTCTCCTTGTTCTCAAAGGAGCAGTAGGAGTTGGTGTCCTCCCCGAACTCATTGATCATGGGGAACTGTAGAAGCAAAAAGGGAGTTAATCACATTGTAGAGAAACCTAAAATGAGACTGAGCGTAAAAGGATGTCGTGCTTATTTAGGCTCGTTGTTTCTTGCTGCTGTTTCATACACCGGATATTAATCAATTCATCAGCGGGATTTTTTCTTTTAATCAAGTTAATTTTTATAGTAATCTGGGAATTTAAGTTGCAAGTTGCTTTAATTGTACTTTTGTATTTCTGAAGCTCTGGGACGAAGAAAAGAGATCAAGCTTTCATACACTCACAAGACATATGAGAGACATTGATTGTTGGGTTTTATCTTTTGTTATTGACAAAAAGAATAACAAAGAATATCAATATTATGGCTATTATTATTTTTGATGATATGATTTCATAATTATTCATCTAATTGCTGCAGACATGGTGATTCATGGACTAAAACATTAACATCAACTGTCTTATGTGAGACGAGGAGCAGCTATGATGCAGCAACAAAAGAAGGTATACAGCCACGATTATGCAAATTGGGTGGATGTTGTAATCCGTACGGTCGTGATCTAAGCGATTTGTCGAGTTATGGTGCTAAACGGTCGTCTGCTTGCTCACTCCAGTGATAGAAAACACAGCCGAGGAGTTACATAACTGCACGTGGTTTGACCTAAACGAACAGATTTACATTTAGAGTGCCGTCGTAAGCAGGGAGAACTTTTCACTTTCCGTACCAAGACGATGCAACGTCTATTTGAGGAGCTAACAAGGCTTTTCCATTTAGCCGAACATCTCTCCGCGCTCAGTTTTTACAGCAAATGTTGTAAACAAGGGCAAAGCCCTCCAGGAGTTGCAGGTCTCCTCAGAACGCCGAGCATCGGGACCTCTAACAACCTCGCTGCCACCCAGGTTCAAATTAGCAGGAAAGCACTTCCAGCTGCATCATTACAGCAGCCGTACTTTTTAAAAAAAGGGGCTTCAAATAATACAAAATAATCCAGAGTTTTGCAAATGAAGCCAAAGGTCTTCCCACATGGGGAGTAAAGGGCATTCTAGGAGTCTATATTATTATTTGGATTTTTGTCCAAATTTGGCGTCTCTGAGATATTATGTTCACAAAAACACACGTGAGGTCACAGTGACCACGACGTTTGAACTTTGACCACGTAAGTCTAGCCAGATACGTTTTTTGTGCAGGTGGATATTTGTGCCCAAATAAGTGGAAATTCCCTCTAGGTGTTGCTGAGACATCATACATACAAGAGAGCATCTGGAAAAAGCATCAGAAATAATCATCCGCTTCTGACGAGCCGGTCCGGAGCCGGCTGAAGGAAAAGTGTGTACATTACACCAAAATTCCTAGAAGAAGACCACGTTCACGCATGTGCTTTTCAATCGTGCTTTGTTCTTAATTTCAGCAATTTATCCCTCCCTTGCTCTTTGCATCATTATCTTCCTTTACTCCCTCATTCCTCTTCATCTCTCTGACACCGGATCTTCTCTCACATTTAAAATCCTCACCTCCCCTTTTTTTTCTCTCCACTTTCCCCTCACTCCTTTTCCTCCCACGCTATTAATCTACGCTACCTTCCCCCACTGTGTTCTGCAGGAGGAGGACGTCTGCCTCACCTGCTTCCTCGTCCAAAGGAAAAAAGAAACCAGAATTGGCTCTGCTGAAAGCTCAATTTTGTGGCTAATTTCCCGCTGAATCAATTTGACCAATAATCCCAATATTGGTTTTACATCATTAGACAAAACAATGTTAGATTATCTGAACTTTTTCATCCTACTTTTTTGCCACTCAGTCAAATGAATTGAGTAATAGTAATATACAAAATAATATTGATCCTTTTCCTGCCCAAATAAATGGGTTTATTTCACAAATACTTAACTCTTATTTTGTTACATTTTCTTTGTATACTTGTTAATATAGAATGACTGTACAATAAGTGCACAGATTGCATGTTATTACCGGGTGTAAGTGAGGTCTATTGTTACTTTAAAGCGCTTATGTGTGCAAAACCCTTTTCACAGCCGCTCAGTTTGCTCCCAAAGCATTACTCTTTATTTTCTATTTTTACCTCAGTACTTAATTTCTCCTGCTGGACCAGAATCAAAGCCCAACAAAACGCTCCCTTCTTTTATCTCTGTGCACGACGTCTCCCATGCCTCCATCGTGCGAAGGGTGGACGGCTCACTCCCCTTTTCTGAGAAGACTGATGAATCATAAAGAACAAAGTGGCCTCCTCTCATGGACCTTCCCTCTGATGCCAACGAGGACCCACAAGAAACACGCCGAATGCCGTTAAAAGAAGTGCGGATCTTTGACCTCCTCACCTTGATCTCGTAGATCTTGAGCTTCCTCTTGATGCCGGTGTTCTCGCGCTCCAGCAGGGCCAGCCTCGTCTTGATGTCCTGGTAGGCGCTGACCAGGGCGAAGTGGGAGGCCGAGTAGACGTCGTCGGGGCGCAGCGGCGAGGAGCGCCACGCCACGCCGCCGCAGCCGTCGTCCTTCAGGCCCCCGCCGTCGCCGCCTCCCAGCAGCCCCAGCTCCCCTCCGCCGAACAGAGACTGCATCTCAGGGCCTCAACCTGAGGACACACGCGGTGATTCGCCGGTGAATTATTGAATCACCAGCTTCCATTAAATTTGATGTACCTGCCAAGAAATGAAAACAGCGTTTGATAATCCCGGCAAGGGGTCAACTATCGGCGCCGCCGCAGCAGCAGCGCTACGGAATCAAGCAGGCGGCTACTCGGAATCACACATACCGAGTGGATTTCTGCCACACGCTCTGTAAAATATTCAAGAGCAGAGGGAATACAAAGAGAGAGACGTGAGGCAGACGCTGCCTGTGAGAAATTTCAAGATGACTAATGAATAATTGTATATTTATCAGACATGGAGTCACGTTATCACATTGAGTCCGTCTCTGTGAACAGGTTTGATTTGGGACGTTTACATTGAAACAATGGAGATTTTGTTCAGACAGAAGCTTGAAGCTTCAGAGGCAACGTCGTGGATGCGGATAGATGGAGATTTATCCCCCAAAAAAGTGAAGACAATAATTTCTTTGGCTTCAGTCGTAGAAAAGTGGGACATTTACGGAAAGAACCGGCGTCCTCTGAAAGTTTAGAGATCAGTCACAACGCTGAGCTCAAACAGACGGCCTGGCCCCATAATATTTCCCAACCAGAGAACCCGCCAAGCTGCTTCTTTCTTCAATGGCACTTTGCTTTCAGAGAACACTGGTGTGTCTCTCGAGGACTGAGACGCATCAACGTTTCACAGATTTTCCCATAACCCCCATCTGAAGATCACTGTGTCCTACTGCTGTGGAGAGTGAAGGAGTGAGTCAGTGAGGGAGGGAGGGAGTGAGGGAGTAAGTGAGTAAGGGAGTGAGGGAAGGAGGGAGGGAGTGAGTCAGTGAGCCAATAAAAACCAACAAACCACAACACGTTAAACGGAACAAACAAAGTAAAGTTGCAGGCGGAGAGCTGAACAAAGACCTCAACAAAGTGTGGGAAGTTCTGTGTGAGTCGAGGATTTAGGTGACAATTATCTGTCAAAAGGGGAATTATAAAACACTGTGATCCTTCATAATGGATTATTATTATTTTTTAAGCATTATGAATATATCTTAGTGCTTATAACTGTTAAAATTACATGGTGCTATAGCAGCATTATAAGTAAAGGGTTATAATGCATCATAGAAGCCTTTACTAATATTGTTAGTTATTGAAGCTGCTGCTGAAGATGCTTCTCTGCACACTTTGAAGGTGAAATTTGTAAGAATGTAATATCCTGTATATTATTAAAATAAAAATACATATTTTTTGGCAGGAGCTTGAAGTACACGAGCAACCAGTGTGTCTGCTTTGTGCTCTTGTTCCATTTCACAGTACTTAAATACACATGAGCCTACGCTCCTTCAGTACCTGATAAATGAGCCAGGCTGACCACGCTGCAGCCTCAACCCCCCCCCCCCCCCCCTCGCCATCCTCCATGTGATGAATGGCGCCTGTGATGTCACCGCCCTCTCTTTTTCTTATGCAGCCACAAAAGGAGGCATTTGCACAAACGTCCCAGTCGACAGTGTACCTGTGGAACGTGCGGCGCTGGTTTGACTCGCGGGTGCTGATGGAGTTACACAACAGTGATTGGATGCGCACTGGATGCCTCTCTGCCTCGTGAGTCAGCGATTGCCTACTGGGCTATTTTCATCGCTCTCTTCCTCCGCGGTTGCTATTTTTCCTTGTGTTTTAAGAGAGAGGGAGATAAGACTCAGCCAATCCACGGCTCTTCTCCTCGCTGGTCCAAAAGTACTCCCACGAGCACACGATCACACGTATGTGCACATGCTGCCCCCTCCCCTCTCATCCCCCCCCAAAAAATACAAAAGAGGAGCAGTGGCACAAAGAGAAAATGTTAAATAAATCGGCACCTGCTGCTGCATGGAGACAGGTGCTTGCACTGGGGCGTCATGCTTAAAATACTTAATAAACAGAACAAAAACCGTAATGCTGAAAGTCCTAACGGGAAAGAATGTAATGCAGCATGTAAATAAACAGGCTGAGCTTTCACCTCGCTGTTATGCAGTGACCACATTTCCATGAAGAAACCCGACCAGCGTTCCTCCTCCGCCTACATTAAGGCTAGAGGACATAATTATCCACGCACCGAAAATCACATGAAATTGCCAAGTGGATGCTATGATTCAATTGCATGTGGAGCACCTTTCACCAGCTGCTTGACAACAACAAGATTTATTTCCATACAGCAGCTACATTGAGACTCAATTGCCTGGTATGGTGGGCTGTTATGTTATATAAAAATATACAAAAAATATAAAGATTGAGAATGTTTACAATGTTTACCGAGGGAATACTTTGGACAAAAGCTTCAGCTAAACGACATGTAATGGAATGGAATAAATCAAGAGTCAATTTCTCCGACACATCAAGCAGCTTTCACGCTGTGGTGAGAAAAGGTGCAGTGGTCACTGAGAGACGGCTAAATGTGGCCTCTGACTGCATGAAATGAAGGACAGGAACTCTGGAACATCGATTTTGTTTAAGCTCCTTTCAGGGGCAGCACAGAAATGAGGCATTTATCACACACACACACACACACACACACACACACACAGACGCACAAAGCTTCGACTATGCTCCCGTTCCTCAATCCCTCTCTTGCTCTCTGCTCCTTTACCCAAAATATCCCTCACCCGGCTCCCCCTTCCGGCCCCATCACACACATTCACTCCATCTCCTGGACCGCGGGGCTCGTTTGCCAATTCTCTCGGGGAGGGGCAAAGGAGGGGGGCGAGCATACGCCTCCCTCGCAACCAGCGGGCCGCTCCATTATCGATTACCACGAGAAGTCACATGGTAGCCAAGGCCCACATGGCACAGCGCCGCGTCTACCGCCCTCACCCGCTTTCAAGCCTCTTTTCTGCAAAACATTTCTTTTTTCAACAGCACTTTATGGATGTTACACATGTTTTTTTTAGTAATAACCGTAAAAGCGTTTATTAATTGTCTGTTTAGTTTCTATAAATTACATTCTTTGTAAAAGGAAGGTTTCCTTTTTTTATTTATCTTTAAATGTACAGCACTTTGAGTGATTGTCCTTAGGACATGTGCTGTATAATAAAAAAATGTAATGTCATTATTATAGAACACAAAGTTGGATAAAGGTAGAAGGGATATATGAAAATGCTTCTATCACCTTTTTGACATAGATGGTGGCTCGCCACATCGAGAGGATCAGTCTGACTAAATTTCTCTTTTTCATTGTTGTGAGCAAATGAAATAACACCGTAGCATTTTGACCACATTAATACGTCTCAACTGTAGCCTATGATTGGCTCCTATGAAAATTCAAAATGTCTTTCCATGCTGAGTTGTTTACCTGACGGTCTGTTCAGTTCCCCAAACATTTAGCAACAAATATTTTGGAATTGCATTGTACTTTAAACTGAACTTCTTTCAAAAGAGAAATTGTAACCTAATGAATCCTGGTTTAAATGCCGCGCAGCAGCTTCATTATCCAGCAGCGTTCTACGATGATTTCACAGAACAAAACTCATCCATTTACAAACATTCATAACCCAATCACGTGCTGCTGGTCATTTCTAGGATCCTTTGAGGAATGAACAACATGCTCGTTCTCTCTGTCTATGTGGGGGTCGAGTAGCTAATGTCGGCCAGCTGTAGACCGAAATAGAGCAATCCTGTTTTTCAGATGTTAATGTTCATGCAGTCTGGTTCCTGCCTTGTGACCTCACGCTAAGTTGGAGGAGTTCAGGACGTAAAAGCGTTGAGATTCACCACAGGTATTTTCTACTGGCCTATTTTATAACATCTTCCTTAGAAGAACTGTTCATCTCCCTTTCACCATCACCACCTTTGTTTTCACCTTTTTTGTCCCTCCGCCCCTCAACCCCCCCCCACACACACACACACACACACACACCGACCCCCCCTCACCGGCCCGCTGTCTGGCGCTGTAAAACACTCCAGCACCCTGTGCTCCCCACCGGCTGAACGTTTGGCACCGCCAACTCAGACAGTATGTCTGAGTCATACCCCTCCCCCATCCCCCTCGCACACACACACACACGCACACAAAATGCTCCCACAATGCATTGCTTCGCTCCGCTGCACCTGTTTACTCTGCAACAGCTTAACGGAAGTCGACGGTCCAACACACACACTGAGAACCTATTAGCATGCCGGCAGGTAGCAGTTTGATCGTGTGCGTGTTTGTGTGTGTCTGTGTGTGTGTGTGTGTGTGCGTCAGTCCAAGGACACGGCTGCAGCAGTGCAAGCTGGAAATGTGCGTGTGTGTGTGTGTGTGTGTCTGTGTGTGTGAAAGGGAGAGAGAGAGACACACACACAGGTAGTAGAGGTATTGATGCACTAATCCAACTCAGTGGATCTATATCGACCACATGCACTGACCCCACTAAAAGAATCAGTAATTAGCGAAATGGATGTCCATTTTGAGTCAAATGGACAATAAAGCAGAATGGGAATGTGTCCGTGTTTTTGTCCTCAAACAAAAACCAAGAGGGCATCCTCTGAGCAACTACAAGGTTTGCACGGCCGTAGTTACCAGCTGCCCTACAGGCTTGTGTGTCGTCACTGGTGATGATGGACAGGCGAGTGTTTCAGTCCACTCAAAGCACACACAGGGCATTTGCACAGTCACGGGGGATAGTATTTGTGTTTCATAGTGTTACGCTGCCGTATTTTCTCTTATCTTGATGTGTGAAAGTTTTCCTCAACCGTTAAATGAAGCATTTATTTAAGTCCATGTGACCAAGAGAAACTAAGATGCAACAAAGTAAAAGTTTGGACAAAAGGAGTGATTTGTCTTCACAGCCGTTGAGCCAAGTCCTTCCTGGTAAGCGGCCTAATAACTCCATCTGGTACTCCAGACGGCTTCAAACCGATGCCAAGAGAGGTTACAACATACTATTTGATTCAAGCACCTTGAGAAGTCGTCACCTCCCTGTGGCGAGCGTGCAAAGTGACCCCCGCAGGGCCCGGGTCAGCCCACAGCATTTTAATGTGATCATAAGAGT